TCCGTAACTCGGCTGTTCGGAGGTGAGCCGTGAGTTCTGTGAGAGGAGGACCAGAACTCGTCGTCACTCTCCTGGAGGGGGAGTGCCACCAGTATATCTGTAAAAGGGGAGCGACGTAGGAGGCTTTTAGGGGGAAGGAAGGGGATGACGCATTTGGAGAAGAAAATGGAAGTCAGGGCTGGGGTGGGAATGGCCGGCGTTGTGTCTGGGGGAGGGGCTGGGAGGGAGTACTGGACTCGGGCGGGAGGGGGGCTGGCAGAGAAGGAGGCCTGTGCCGGGATGTCTCTGGAACTCAGGGATGCAGGGTTACTCGGCGTGTTTGGTGGAGGCCAGTGCGCTGGAAGGGAGCGTGCGTTTGGCACACTCAGGTGGGCGTGACTGACATTGGCTTAGTTTTGACGGAGATGGTTCAGGCCTGGCCTGGTGAGAGAGAAAATCAGAATGAAAGGGAGGGGCTTGAGAACGGCCCGATTGGATGCTGGGGTCTGAAGATTGGGGTGATAGACTTCAGGGGGCCCCACTGAGGTCTTCGTGGAAATGGCTGCTGGGGGGAGGTGGCCAGCCAGGCTGGCGTCTGGCTGTGATTTGGGGGTGAGGGAGGGCTGCCGCTCATACAGGGTTAGTGTTGGAGTTACAGCAGCAGAAGCACAGATTTGGGAGAGAAATGGACTTCAGCGCTGGTGGTGACTGAATGAGCGATGAGGGCCCTGGGAACTGAGGGAGTAGAATTGGGTGAGGCCAGGGTTTTAGGGTGGCAGGTGCCGGACTGGGAGGAATGGGTGAGGGAACTGGGGGTGTGGCTTCATTATTTGGGGGGTGGTGGACTTGGTTGGTAGGTTTGAAAAGAAATGTAGTGAATGAGGGAGACCAAAGGATGAGAACTGGAGAGGAGGGGGTGGCAGGGGTGGCCTGTCTGATCTGAACCCCATAGAGCTGGCTTATCCTGTTTTATGGTGATCTTAATGGGTATAGCTTGGGAATCAGAGTGACCTCTTGCAAAAGATTATCATCTTGGGGGGAGTAGATCCGATTCAGGGGTGTCTAAATTGGGTGAGTGAGACTGTAGTGCCTTACATCAGGTGTGGGGGTGTGAGGTTTGCAGGGTTGGAGGCTTGAAGATGATGGACTAGCCCTGCCGGGATCTGCCAGAGGGCCCAGCGTGGGCTGTGGTTAGAACTCGGTTCAGAGAGTTGGGGGTGGAATGAGGTGAGTGTGGCTTGGGAACAAGTTATTAAAACTTGGAGGTGAGAGGAATGGGGATGACAAACAGCCAGGGTAAGCTGAGTAGAAGTTAAGCCAATAGACTCAACAGGTGTGGGAGCCGTGGGGGATTTAAGATAGATTTAAGCCACAGACCGGGCAGGATGGCCACAGCCGTAGCAGAGGGCACAAGTCGGAGCTGGGGGCATGGAGGGGACGCCGCCTGCACCTGAGAGAATGAAGTCAAAACAAAGCTAAACTCAGAGCGCCCTGCTTGTAAGCAGAAGGGACAGGCCTGGAAGCCCAGAGCCCACTGCCTGGCTCAGCTGACTGCTCCCTTTCTGCCCCTCCCCGAGCTGGAGGTTCCCATAACAGCGGGGGTTTTTAATTTACACTTAGTAATCTGTCACAGATCTCAGAGGCAGGCCCCAAGGGGCGGCCTGACTGGGGTGAGGAGACCGGAGACCCAGACCAGTGTTCCCAGCAGCCGATCCAGGGCATGGGGCAGAGCTGCCCGGCCTGCTGTCTGCCCCCTCCCACACCAGGAGGAGCCGCCCTGGTCCCTGGGCCAGCAGGCCTGCTCGGGGGAGGGGAGGCCTTTGCTCCCACACGCTTTGCCTGCCGACTGGCAGCGGGGACCCCTGCTTCTCACGCGGCTGTGGACGCCTTGGTCTTTCACGCAAGCACTTTCATCCTACTCGGCGTTTGTACAGCAGCCGTGAACACAGCCCTGCAGAAGTGAGGGTCGTTTTGTCCCTGGCCTGTAGAATGACGGAGCTTGGAACACGGTGGAGGAGGCGTTTGGGGAGCAGCTGGGGTGGGAGGTGCCAGTGCGCTCAGGCCTGGGACTGGGAGTGCTGGACACGCAGGTGTGCACAGCAGGTGTGGCAGGAAGGAGTGACGTGGAGCTGAGCCTTCTGAGCGTTGGGACTGGGATCTGGCTATGACGTGAGAGTCACCGCGCTGGAACTGAGGTTGGGTTGTCGCTGTTCGTCTGCAGAGGAGACGTACCCAGTGGGCTTTGCAGCATGCTGCAGGCAGGGGGGCAGGAGGTCTCTGCCCTGGCAGTAGGTAGGGTGTGAGGGGCAGCACGTTGGGGGGTGACTGAGTGTGGTCAGGGTGGAACCGAGGACTGGGCGTGTGTGGAGCGATGAGGTGGTGCCTATGGTTACGGGACACCCAGGAAAGCTTTGGTGAGTTCTGATGGGGAACAGGAGCAGCGTTAGGGTTTGTGGGAGAGGCGTCGGGGCCTGGGAAAGAGGGGCCGTGGGACCAAACCACACGGAACCTTCTTTTTGTCTCTTAATTCTCAAGGTGGGTCACGAGCCGATGCCCCCCACCCTTGGGACCAATGTGCTGGGGAGGAAGGTCCTCTACCTGCCGAGCTTCTTCACCTACGGTGAGTGCGCGTCCCCACCAGGAAGGACGCGAGGGACGGGCGAGCAGGTGCAGCTGGCCCTGGGAGCCCCTGTGCGGCAGTGGGACCCAGAGTTGGCGCAGTCTGGAGGAGGGGCCATATGCATGTCACCCCTGCCTCCTCGGGTTGTGTGTGGAAGCTTTTCTGCTTCCCTGCTACTCCAGTGGGCAGCCTGGGGGGTCCTCCTGGGCTCTGTTCTGCGCCCCCAGCTGCCCAGTTTCCCCACATTCCCCTGGCAGTAGCGTCTACACTCTGGGGTACCTCCAGCCACCGGCTGTAGGACCGTGTGCAGTCAGTTACAGCTTCGCCTCTGTGTGCCCTGACCGTCCACCTGAGCCGGGGCAGGCATCTCACCTGCCCTGACCCTGCTGTGTGGCCCGCCTGCTGTCAGGGCAGTGTCGTCCTGCCCAGCCCGTCCCTGTTAGCTCTGCCTGCACCGAGAGAGCCACCTTCCCCCTCTGCTGCTCGCTCCTGCCCACAGGTGCCTGCTGGCCAGCACCTTCTCAAGTGTGCCATTGGTATCTGCCACCTAGTCCTCTCCCTTGCCTTCTTTATTTTATTTTTTAATTAATTAATTTATTTGAGACGCACAGAGAGAGAGAAAGGTCTTCCATTCACTGGTTCACTCCCCAGACGCCCGCAATGGCTGGAGCTGCGTGGATCCAAAGCCAGGAACTAGGAGCTTCAAAATCTCCCATCTGGGTGTAGGGGCCCACGGACTTGGGCCATCTCCTACTGCTTTCCCAGGGCATAGCAGAGAGCTGGATCGGAAGTGGAGCAGCCGGGACTCGAACCTGTGTCCATTTGGCATGCCAGCACTGCCTCACCCCCTACACCACAGTGCCAGCCCTACCCTTGCCTTCTTTAAACATGCCCTTTCTCTCTGCGTTCACAGCCAGAGGTCCCTTCCAGGCCAGTCCCCTGTGTTTTCCCCTCCTCTGCTCGGACCTGTTTGGACAGGACAGAATGTTCTCTGAAAGTCTTTTTCTGCTAAGTAACTAGGGGTCAGGTGTCCTGTTCCTCTTCTGGTTGTGCCCCATTGTTGAGCGCAGAATCCAGGGCCAGGCAGAACAGGTCATTTTGTTTTTGCTTAAAAGTTGTCGGTGTGTGGGAGTATCAGAGAAGTGGGAAGATATCCCCGTCTGTAGTACATTGCGTGCAGAGATGGTGCAGGATTTGTGGGCAACTGGGGGGTGGGCTGCCACGCTCTTCCTTGTGGTTTCTTGGTATGTGGCCCCTCGGGCTGTGGTATGAGGGGCTCAGGCTGGGGAAGCTCAGAGCATTGCTGTTTGTGTTACCCAGCTGTTCCCGGACAGCCTCAGGGTCGAGGGGTCTCCATCCCACCTGGCTGCTTCCTGCAGAGCACCCCTGTTCCCCCCCCCACCCCATTTAGATGGGTGCTGTTTCAGTCCAGGTGTCGTGAGCACCTGTCTTTAGGTATTTCCAGACTCCATACCTGCTCCGGGGCCAGGGAGGCGAGGTGTGGACGGGATCTGCTCCTGCCGTGTCCTGGCAGAAGCTCCATGCTGGGGGCAGTAGTGTTTCCAGGCTCGGCAGACAGGCCCTGCGGTGATGGAGCCCGGCCCTTTGGGCCACAAAGGCCTCAGTCAGCATTTCTGCTTTTCTTTCTCTGCTCCCTTGTTCATAATTCGCTTGGGAAAAAGGTGTCCTCACCCCCTTTGTACTGGTGGGCAAATCAGATGGGAGGCAGTGAGTGTTTTGCTCCAGATCTTAATTGAGGCTTTGTCCCCATTGCTCCCTTTTGCTGACTCTGACCTCCCCTCCCCCAAAACAAACCTTCCTCTGCCTGTTCCCTCGTGAGGTAGGAAGCCCGGCCCACGTGTGCAGGCAACAGGTGCACTCAGCCCTGGAAAGCCCTTGGCGCGGACTGGGACAGCCAGTGGCTGGGCTGGCAGACGTGTGGCTGGAGGACAAGGCCTGTTTGTTGCTGCCTCTGTGCGGTGCTAGAGAGCTGCAGCGTGGATCTGAAGGGAGAGCGCGTTGTCCGAGAGAGGATTCTGTGAGCTTCCACGTACCTTATACAAACAGGCTGCTTTAGTTGAACGTAGTTCAAAAGTTGACGTCAGGTAGAACAGTGAGGCACCATGGGAGCCCTGGGTCCAGCTTCCCCGACGTCACAGTGCTTGGTGGACTCGTCATCGGTGGGCCTGTGTTAGCTGCTGCTCCTCACACGTGCTGGTGGGTGCCCAGGGTGGCCGGACGCGGCGGTGGTGCGTTCAGGGGCCCCTTGCTCTTCCTTCCTTTCCTCCCTCAGGCCGCGTGCTTCATCCCTGCCCGCTGGCGTTGTCTTTCCCCCTTTTTTCTTTGCCATGAGAAAAATGTCTTATGAGCAACAAGATTGCTTCTGGGCTGCATCGCGTAGGTGGGGACTTGGGAAACCATAGCTGTTTGCCAAGTAGGCTTTCGAAGCTGAAAAAGAGAACATGGTGAACTTGGTAGTCAGAGCGCTTTAGAGGTTTGACCAGCGGAGCAGGGGCCAGAAGGGGAAGACTTGGGGCGAGGGCCTGGCCGTTTCCGAATCCTGGGAAGTCCCCTCCCGCGGCCGCAGCTGGTGGTGCTGACTCGAGGGCCGAGCGGCAGGTAGCCTGCGAGTGCGTGTGACCCGGCTGGGTGTGACGCTGCCACCTCTGCTGTCTTACAGCCAAGTACATTGTGCAAGTGGATGGGAAGATAGGGCTGTTCCGAGGCCTGAGCCCTCGGCTCATGTCCAACGCCCTTTCTACCGTGACCCGCGGCAGCATGAAGAAGGTGAGCCCGCGGGAAGCTGGGACCCGTCCCCCGGGGTTTCTCCAAGCTCCCAGCAGCCCCCAGAGAGGCCCTGGGGGGGTCCCTGATGGTCACACGCTGAGTGTCATGCTGGGGAGGGGGAGGGCGAGGGCGAGGGCCCATCCCACAGCCGTCTGCTGTGCCAAAGCTGTGAGAGCACACGGGGGCTCGCTCCTTCCCGGGGCTCCAGCACAGGTGCTGCCCCGGTGCGACTCGGGCCGTCGTCTGTGTCCGTGTGCCAGGTGTTCCCCCCAGATGAGATGGAGCAGGTTTCCAACAAGGATGACATGAAGACCTCTCTGAGGAAGGTGGTGAAGGAGGTGGGCATTGCCACTGGAGACGGGGAACAGAGGCTGCTGACCTCTCGTCGCCGACTCGGCGGGTCCTGCGTGTTGGTGGGGGGATGGGAGCCCTGCCCCGGACACTGCTAGCAGGGGTGGGGCGGGGCGGGCAGCAGGCACAGCCATCCTCAGCAGACTCCCATGTAGGGGTCGTGGGGGCCCCGGGCCCCCATCCCCGAGACGAGCCTGACCACACCTCGGCCCTCTGCTGTCTTCCAGACCTCGTATGAGATGATGATGCAGTGTGTGTCCCGCATGCTGGCCCACCCCCTGCACGGTGAGCCACACTGGGGGCACTGCGGCAGTCTAGGCGGAGGCGGGGGTGACCCTGGGGACCATGGCGAGGAAGGGGTGGGGTTGGGAGGGTCCCACTGGGCCCTCACCAAGGAGGGATTGTCCGGGAGTTTTTTCCAAAGGGAGCTGGGCCTCTCCGTAGGCTGAGGACGCGAGGTGGGGTGGGAACCCCGAGGCCCTGGTCCCCGGGCTGCGACCGCGCTCTCCGTGGCCGGGGGCCCAGGCCCGGCCAGCACGTCACCTCTGTGTTTTCTCCTCCTCAGTGATCTCGATGCGCTGCATGGTGCAGTTTGTGGGCAGGGAGGCCAAGTACAGGTAGGTAGTCGGGGCCCCTCCAGGCGTGCCGGGACACCATTGCCGACCTAGCTGGCTGCAGGGGGGTGGGGGAGTGGCTTCCACGGCAGCCACCTGGGACCTTTTCTCTGCTCCATCTCTCACCGGGGGCTGCCCTGGATGGGCCGAGGTGCCTTGCAGAGGGGCAGTGGGATTGGAGGCTGCCCCCGGGGTTGATGCTGCCACTTCTCATGAGCTGGGGTCCCCCAGACGCTAACGGCTTCTCCAGCCAGTGCAGAGCCTGGCTCGGAGCTCTTCGGGTCCTCTCCTAGGAGGAGGTCGTCACTTGTCAGCAGATACTTCCCTAGATCTGCGGTGGCACTGAGCTGGGTGCCGGACGTGGCCCTTTGCCATGGCTCTTTGCCATGGCAGTCCTGCCCCCCTACCCCTGTGAGGTGCGGTGCAGGTCCAGGAGCAGGGTCCTGCAGGTACGTGGCAGGAAGGCGCGCCTGCCTCACCTCCACACCCCACCCCACCTGGTGCCTCATTTGGGGTTCCCCGATGGGAAGCTGGCCTGTTCCCCCAGATTGAATGGGAGATGGGGCCAGGAGGGAATAGTGTGGCTCCACCACAGTAGGGGCTGGCAGGAGAGGGCGCCCAGACCAGGGCTTTGGCTCTGGCTGTCTTCCTCTCTACCAGAGAGCCGCCACATGGGCCAGGCCGGCTGCTGTTCTGCCACAGCTCACAGAGCCGCTTCTGCCTTTCATAACTAGGATAGCCTATGGCATGCAGGCCTCTGGCCTCTGGTCCCGGGCTCCCTGCCAGGGAGGACTAGAGCCTTTGTCCATGCTGCAGGCGGGGCCTCCTGCTGCAGGGCCCTGGCTTCCTGCTCTGGCCTCCAGAAAGGTCCCTGTCTCCGCCCCCTGCCCCTAGAGCATGGCCTGAGCTGGGCACTTGATGCTATTCCAGGTCCCGCAGAACACGGTGGGAGAGGACCCCCAGGCCTGCTGCCCGTGGGTTGTTGGCTTTCCCCGGGTTCCGTGAGCCGGGTACCCCAGCCACGGGCGCACTCTTTCTTCTGCACAGGGGCGTTTCAGAGTCACACGCCCGCATCCCGGCCAGGCCTGCGAGGACCTGAGCGGAGCTCTCGGTGGGCTCTGTCCATGGCCGGGCGACCTTGTGTCTCTGTCTTCTCTTCACAGCGGTGTCCTGAGCTCCATTGGGAAGATTTTCAAAGAGGAGGGGCTGCTGGGATTCTTTGTGTACGTGAGTTTGCCCCGCCCGTAGCGGCCTGGCGCATGGCTCTTCTAACACGTGCTCCTGACTCCACAGGCCGCGGCTGCTGGCCTCAGATTAACCACAGAGGTCTGCTTCAGCCTGAGCAGCTGCAGCCCAGCTCCAGAGAGCTCCATAGTGTGTCCCAGCCAGGATCCTCACCACCAAGGCTGCCTGGCCCCTTTCATCACAGCCCACGTCCAGTATACTGGGGACACCAGGCCTTATCCATTCACCCCAGGGCTGGAGCTGGGGCTGGGCTGGGGCTGGGCTGAGGCCGGGCATGGGGCTGCTCTTCATGATCCGGGCACTGCACAGTCGTGGCCTCACTGACAGCAAATACTGCACATCTGTGTCCTGAACACTGGCAGTCACGGGCTGACTCAGGCTAACAGATTCTGTTTCTCCCAGCATTTCTGACAAATTGGGTGTTAATGTTTACCATTTAAAGTATTTCACACACAATCCATATGTCTTAACTTCTCTTTAAGAGTCAGAAAACCTGGCCACCAGCTGGGGCCCAGGGGCCTGCCCCGTGGCCGGGCACATGGGCTCCTGATGGCCAGTCTCGGGCACTCTCGTCCCACACCCCCCTTAGTTCACCCTACAGAAAGCTCCTACTGCTGCCCCTGCTCAGAAAGAGTCAACCACGGCCAGAGCCGGGAGCTGGCCGGTGAACGGGGCCTGTGTTTGCCTTGCCGAGGCCCAGGCATGGCGGCGTGCTGTTGTGAACAGAGTGCGCTAGACATGAGACTGAGGGAGCAAGACCTTTATGTTGTGGTGTGCCAGTTGGCCAGGTCGTTTTATTTATGGCGCCTGTTTAACCCAGAACCTATGTATGTAGGGTGTGTGTACGCACACCTACGAGTACATGATTTTCAGCGGGCAGAGACACGTGTGTGTCCATGTGCACATACAGACCGGGGAATACATGTTTGCCCTTGGACCTGGTGCACCAGGCCTCGAAACCGGGCAGCGGCAGCTCCGGCACCTCCCACGTTCTCTTCTGGGTGTGACTGGGAGACCCAAGCAGCAAGTGTTTACTTACCCTGTGGGTTCTTTTGCCCCACACGACTCTGGAACAGGCGAAAAACATGCGGTGCAGGACTCAGAAAGCACCCAAGGGTGTATGTGCACAGTCAGGAGCCCAGGCCGAGGACTGCCCGTGGCTTTCAGAAAGGTTCGTTTTACTCGTATCCCTCGATCCGCCCAGGTGTTCAGTGCGTTCCCTTTGAACTTTTCCAATAGTTTGTAAGGAAGTCTTTACAAATTCAGAGGGGAGGATTCCGCTGCCCCCTCCCGAGAGCCAGCCGCTCCGCTGGAGAGCCTCGCAGACTGCGGCTCGACTCGCGGTCGGCCTGGGGACCATCACGTGGAGCCCGCCCTTTAGTTTCTAGAGCTGTTCGCTCAGGGCCGCTGCTTGGAGCCGAGTTGCGGGAACTGTGGTTGACAGAGCGAGCCGCGTGTTTTGTGAGAGCTGTTTGGGTACAGGGGCCAGGAGAGAGTGTCCAGGCTCTTTCACGCGTTCTCAGCTTCATGCCTGGCTCCTGTGGTTCGGTCGTGAGATGTGCACTAACCCGCAGCAGCAGGCGTGGCCCTGCATCCCTCCCAGGGGAGAGGAGCCCCGCCTTCCCAGCATGGGTCACCCCGGGCCACCCAGCGCCCGCAGGCTCCCTCCCTGAGGCTCGGACGCTGGACGTGCCGACGTTTGGGGCTTGGACAGCGCTGCTGGCTTCTTGGCCGCGGGACCCCCAGGAACGCTCCCCCTCCCTCCCCTGCTCACGTTTGCTCACCTTGTTTTGTAGCGGCTTAATCCCTCACCTCCTGGGCGATGTGGTTTTCTTGTGGGGCTGTAACCTGCTGGCCCACTTCATCAATGCCTACCTGGTGGATGACAGCGTGAGTGACACCCCAGGGGGGCTGGGAAACGACCAGAATCCAGGCTCCCAGGTTGGTTGGAGCAAGGGCTCGTCCTTCTTTCCGTGCACTGCTGATGCCCAGGGGCCGTGGAGACTCGGGGCTCTGGGACTCAGCACCAGGCTCTGAGGGAGGGCCTTGGGGGTCCTGGGAGTCCGCTTTGCCAAGTGGGAGGGGCACGGGGTTGGGGGGAAGGGGTGTGAGGAATGGCCTCAAAAGGTGAGGCTCCAGATGGTCCCCAGACCCGAGAGGCTGCTTTGGGACGCTGACCTGACTGGGCTCAGGAAGTCAGAGGGTGGAGCCTCTAATAGTGCCAGTCCCTTGGCCTTGCCTCGGGTCTTAGGCTTCTTACAGTGCTCTGCGCCGGGGCCGCCTCTGCTCTTCGTGAGGGGAACAGAGCAGGTGCCACAGCCCACTTCCACACGCAGGCTGAGGGCAGGGTCAGCAAGGAAGAGTATGGCCTAGGCTTAGCCCAATCTGTCCCCAGTGGACCTCTAGCCTGGCATAGACAGGCCTCCCCGGGTCAGCCCTTCTGCAAGGCGGGTGTTGAAGAAACCTCTGTGTGCCTGATGGCTGACTGGTGGTCAGGGGCGGGGTGGGCCGGGCTCTTGGCAGGCAGCCATGCTGACAGCAGGATTGCCCGGGAAGGTAGGTGAGGGGCCTGGGGACCTGTCCATCGGAATCGCCTGGGAGCAGTGGGGGTCACGATCCACGTATGTCTGTGTCTGTCGTGTTTGTGTCTGGGCCCAGGGCTGTGCTCACAGGGACACTGGCTGGCCCTTTGACTGGGCAAGTGAAATATTAACTGGCCTGCCACTGTAAGCAGATTCAGTGCCCACAATGGCAGTGTGGGCGGGGGAGCTGCTGCCGCCCCACACTCAGCCCCAGCAAGCCGGGACAGCTGAGGCAGCGTGGAGTGAGGCAGAGGCGCACAGCTGCGCGGCCTCTCTGGTCCAGGTGGGCGGCTGTCGGACCAGGGCTGCTGCCATCACACCAGCCGGCAGCTCCATCTGAAGTTTTCTTAGGTGTTTTGCTCTGTGTGGCTTCATAGCCAAGACGAGGCTGCCAGCCCTGCTGGGCTCTGGGGCGTCCCCGTGCTGGGATGGCCCCTCCACAGGAAGCTGGGGGATGGCTCGTCACCTTCTCTTGTTGGGGTTATTTCCGGGGCAAAGTGGGGATCTGCAGGGGCAAAAGCCTGGTGTCTGCCTGCCTCCCGCCCCAAGGCCTGGATTCTGCCGCCGGCTGTCAGGGTGGCAACAGAGAGCTTTACATTGGTTACGCCGACTGCGTAGTGAGCCGACAGGCTGCTCAGTGCCCTTCACTGAGCTCCCCGCCGTCCACTTAGCCCCTCTGCCTGCCAGGTCTTCTGGCTCTGACTACAAGGCCGTGGAAACAGCTGGGAGGGGGAGGGGCCCGAAAGGCAGGCAGGGTGCACAGCGTGTGTCTGGAGGGTATGCAGGGTGAGGTGAAGGGGGCAGCAGGGCTGAAGTCTGGTCCGCAGGGGCCTGTGGCAAACCCCGCCCCCTCTCTGTCCCCTCAGTTCAGCCAGGCTTTGGCCATCCGGAGCTACACCAAGTTTGTGATGGGGGTAAGTTGGCCAGTGGGCCACCACCCGGGGCGGGGATGAGACATTGCCAGCATGGCTGTCCCTGCTCCCCGGCCTGGGCGGGGCACTCAGGTCTCCCTGGCTTGCAGATCGCAGTGAGCATGCTGACATACCCGTTCCTGCTGGTCGGCGATCTCATGGCGGTGAACAACTGTGGGTGAGTTTGTATCCCTCTGTGCCCTTCCCGTAGCACCCCCTCCACCTGGGCTGCGGCGGGGCTTCCTCTGGGTACCACCAGGTCCCTCCAGGGAGGACCCGTGCTCTTGGGACATGGGCGGTGGCAGCTTGGAGGCTGACCTCTGCCCGTGCTCTCTGGTCTGACACGCACCCTCCTTCCTGGGCAGGCTGCAGGCTGGGCTCCCCCCCTACTCGCCAGTGTTCAAGTCCTGGATTCACTGCTGGAAGTACCTGAGCGTGCAGGTGAGCAAGCTCGGGGGAGGCTTTTCCTTTCTTTGCCACGTCCACGTGTGCACTCTGCACGGAGACACAGGTGTGGGGGAATCTAATGTCGTGAGTAGGGTGGAGAAAGAGAATAGATACACTTGGCTTAAGGCACTGAAGTTAAAAGTGTCACTTTATTTCAGAAAGGATTGAGGTGGGTACGTGGGTTTACTTAAAAATTCCTCATCAGACAAGGATGAGGGCGCTCTGACCCACATGGTGTGTGGTGAGGCCCAAAACTTATTCCCGGGCCACAGGGGCTGCAGATGCGGGCCTGGACCTGTCGGTGTGGGAGGCCCGCTGGCCCTCTGCGGCCAACAGTGTTGGCTTCTTGGGTTCTGAGCCCCTGGACCCAGCGCCTGGCCTTGCCCTTTTCTGGCCTTAGTTTGCCTGGCAGTGGAGCAGAACAGGGGCTGCAGGAGCAGGCAGGCTGCAGAGAGGGCGGATGGGAGGGAAGCAGCGGGGGGACACACGCACTTCTTCCTCGCACTCGGGTCCCTCTGCTTGCACCGCGACCTCACCGTGGGGCTTTGCAGTCAGAGGAGCAGTGAGTTCCTTGGGGGTTTCCTATGAGTAGCCCCATGGACCCTGGCACCCTGGGGCCTGGAGGCACCGCCCCCTTCTGCTTCAGTGCGGGTAGGTTCTGGCCTTTCTCTCCAAGGGTGCAAACCTCAGTGTCCCTCCCCGGTCCTTCCTCAGGGCCAGCTCTTCCGTGGCTCCAGCCTGCTTTTCCGCCGGGTGTCGTCAGGATCATGCTTTGCCCTGGAGTAACCTGAATCAGCCCAGAAAACACTGGCTCAGCCTGGCCGCCGCGGGTGAGGCCTGCTCATCTCGGGACGCCTCACACAGCTCCAGCCCAGCGAGACCCAGGCGTGCTCCTGCCCGGCCGGGGTCACTCTCCATATTTGCCGCGTGTCTGTCCAGAAGTGGGGCAGGGGTGGGACTGTGCCCAGTGGGTTGGGTCACCTGTTGGGCCTGGGAAAGGGGTGTGGGGATGGGAATTGGGGCGGAATCCCCTTCTCAAATTCGCTCATCTGCCTTGTGCCAGAAAATGACTTGTGGAAGCCTGGGGTGGGTAAACAGACACCAGCGGGGCCAACTCCCACCCCTCCCACCCCCGCAGTGGGCCCCAGTCTCATCCCACAGCTCAGCTGGGAGCAGTCACTCCCCTGCTTTGTAAATAGGGCGTGACCCCTCACGAGGCCGCCATTGTGTGGGCTTGTGCTCGGAGGCTGGCGCTAGGCCCTGCCTTCGTGTTTCTCAACACTACCCCTCTGCCAGGCAGGCAGCACCTGCTCGGAACAGAAAGTCGTGTGGTGTGTCAGGCTCTGTCCCTCACCTGCTCGTCCGTCCTGTGTGGCGCCTCGTGCAGGACCTGCTTACCTGTGCGCTTGTGAGTGCCCGCAGTGAGCACCTGTGTGTCTAGTCCTACCCGTTTTCAAAGCTCCTGGTAAGATCTGACCTTGTCACCCTCGAATAAATGTGTTGGTGGTGAATCGGAGTTTTATGGGGTGTCTCACTCTGTGGGCGTCAGATATCTGCAGGGTCTGTTTCCACCCTTCCTGCTGGGGTGGCAGAGAGCAGAAAGCCACAGGGCTGGCGCCTGCGCGGCCTGGGCACATAGGAGCCAGGCTTGGTGTGCGTCAGGTTCAGGGCAGACCATGGAGCTGTTGAGATTTCGTTTATTTAATTGAAAGGCAGAGTGGAAGATGGGGAGAGGGAGAGAGAGCTCCCAGCTGCTGGTCCCGTCCCCTAATGGCCGTGATGGTCAGGGAAGCCAGGAGCCCCAAACTCCATCTGGGTCTCCCCCGTGGGTGGCAGGGGCCCAAGCACTTGGACCATCTTCCTCTGCTTTCCCAGGCGCGTTAGCTGGGAGTTGGACTGGAAGGAAATGGGCGGGACTGGAACCTGCACTCACGGGATGCCAGCGTCACAGGTGGCTGCTTAACCTGCTGTGCCGTGACGCCCGCCCTGAGGTGCCAGTTCTCGAAGCAGCAGCTCCAGCTTAGACCTGCGGAAGCAGACCTGTGCGGGCGCCGGGTGCCCCCGCTCCTAGCGTGGTACACTTCAGTGAGGCACGGGGACGGGCCAGGTTGGCAGCACCTGGCTGCAGAGGGCCTGCCTCACGGCCCGCTCCCCTCTCCGGCCCAGTGTGCTTTACCACAGCACTGACCGCTGTGCGCGGGTATCTTTTCTTCCTGCAGATTTCCCTTCAAGTCCTAGTTCACCCTAATTCAGGGAGCCTGGCGTCTGAGCCTGTGCTGAGCTGGCCGTGAAGGCCCGTCCTCTGACAGCCATGTCCTCCTGGGGGGAGTGGGACAGTGGCGGCACCTTTCTTTTGACAAGGCCCCTTGGGTATTTATGACAGCATTCAGGGCCAGACCAAATCAGCTTAAAAGTAGCCTGCCATAGATGCGCTGCGTCTTGAGTTCCTCCCGTGGTTGCCTTGGCAGGCACAGTGGTTTCGTGGACCTTATGTGGCCTGCTGGCTGGACACTCCCCGCCCTGTTAGCTGTTTGGGGAGGCTGCCCAGGGAATGCAAGGCCATGGGTAGGCTTGGCCAGTCGCCTCAGAGAGGGCCAGCACTGACCCCGAGTAGTATCTTGAGGTCTCTGAACTTCAGGGTCTTGGCCTTATTTCCCAGGCCTGGACCTCTCTCGGACCCCAGCACGATGTATGCGACTGGGAGAGGAGAGGGGCCATGCTGCCAGCAGACAGGGAAGATGGGTAGGGATGTCCTGTGTCCTCTTGGGGGGAACTTGTCACTCTCAGCCCTAGCAGGGCCTCAGGCCTCTCAGGACCCCATGGTGATCAAGCCTGAGGTGGCAGTGGTGGCCTGTGCTGGGCCCCTCTGCTCGTGTCAGCACCAGTTCCCAGATGCCTGGAGCCACAAAAGACATGCAAGAGGAGGAGACCCCATCCCCCGTGGCCAGGAGCCCCCATGCTGTGTTGCCGTGCCTGGGCATCCTCGCCAGCCTGTGCTGACTCCACCTCTTCCTGCCCCGTTTGTCACAGCCTGGTGTGGACATCATGTCCTGCGTTCCCAAACACCTTCCAGGAGGGCACTGCTCCTGGGCTTGGGGAGGTTCTTTTGGGTGACATTGCCCTTGGCCGACAGCAGGAGGCAGGCCGGAGCCCACCCTGAAACCTGGAAGGATGGACTTGGGCCTCCATAGGGTGTTCCTGACTCCGGGACTTCCACACCTGCCCACCCCTGGGCCCCAGTACCAGCTCCAGAAAACAGGCCCAAACGTGTATGGGTTCCCCAGGAGTGCTGGTTGATTTCACATCTGAAAATCAAGTAATGTTAGGCACCCTGTCCACAGGATAAAGAATAAACCCACAGGATCATCTCAGAAGACACAGAAAAAGTATTTAACAAGAGTCAACACTTTTCATGATAAACACAGTGAACGAACTAGGAATACAGGGGAGCTTCCCCGGACCCTAGGAAACAGCAGCGGCAGCTCCTGCCGCCCACATGGGTGACCTGCATTGAATTCCTGGCTCCAACCCTGGCCATCGTGGGCATTTGGGGTCTGAAATGGAGAATAGGAGCTCTATGCCTCTCAAAGAAATAATAAATACATCTTAAAAACTCACACAATTAGGATTAGACTGGTGAGCTATTGAATGGCCCCTAAGAGCAAGATGAGGAGGAGGATGTCCCTTCTGTCACTCATATTCAACATTGTACAGGACGGTCTGGCGGGGCAAGTAGGCCAGAAACGGGGGTAAAAGCTGCCTGGATTAGAAAGAGCGTCTCCGCAGGTGGCACGATGTTACATAGGAAATCCTACAGAATTCACCGAAGGCAGTAAGCCTGCAAGATGTGTTAACACACAACAATTGATGTTTCTGTACGTTGGACAAGCAAAGTGAAATTAAGCAATCTCACTTAAAATAGCTTCAAAAATTTAGGAACATATATAACAAAATAGTTAGGAAATTCAAAATTTTTTTTTTTTTTTTTTTTTTTTTTGGACAGGCAGAGTGGACAGTGAGAGAGAGAGAGACAGAGAGAAAGGTCTTCCTTTGCCGTTGGTTCACCCTCCAATGGCCGCCGTGGCCAGCGCACTGCGGCCTGCGCATCGCGCTGATCCGATGGCAGGAGCCAGGTACTTCTCCTGGTCTCCCATGGGGTGCAGGGCCCAAGTGCTTGGGCCATCCTCCACTGCACTCCCTGGCCACAGCAGAGAGCTGGCCTGGAAGAGGGGCAACCGGGACAGAATCTGGTGCCCTGACCGGGACTAGAACCCGGTGTGCTGGCGCCGCAAGGCGGAGGATTAGCCTAGTGAGCTGCGGCGCCGGCCAGAAAATTCAAACTTTTAAATAAAACTATAAAACATGGAAGGAAAAAACTGTAGAAGACCCAAGTAAGTGGAAAGACACCCAAGTTCATGGATCAGAAGACAGCAAGGTTAAGATGGCAGCTGACTTAGCAGATGTTGGCCAAGCTGATCCTGTGGAAATGCAAGGGACCCAGGGTGGCCAAAACAATCTTGAAAAAGAACAGAGCTGGAAGACATACATGTCCTGAAGGGAAAACTTAAGCACAAAGCTACTGTAACCGGGAAGTGTGACACTGACAGGATAAACAATAGAACTGCGAGTACTCACATTCGGGGACAACAGATTTGAATTCCAAGAAAGGTACTGGGACAGTTTAATAGGGAAAGAGTCATCTTTTCAACAAGAGGTGCAGAGACACGCAAAATAACCAGGTGGCCCCCTAACTCACACCACATAAAAAGTTAACTGAAAACACATCAGACATTGACGTCAGAATTGAAAACAAGGCTTAGAAGGGAGTAGGTAGACATTTTGTGGTCTTGGGTTAAGCATTGCTTTCTTAGATAGTACATGAAAAGCATAAGCAACAGAATAAGCCACAGACAGATAGGACATCACAATTTGAAACATTTGTGCTCAATGATATCATCAAGACAAACTGAAAGGACAGCCCGTGCAATAGGAGAAAATATTTGCAAATCATGTATCTGATAAGAGACTGGTCTCCGGAAAACATAAAAGAACTACAACTCAATGTAAAAAGACAAACACAGAAGACTTGGATGGATATGTAAATAGCCAATAAGCTCATGGAAAGATGTTTGATGTCAGGCCAGCACTGTGACATGGCGGGTGGGGTCGCTGCCTGCGGTGCGTGCTGGCGTCCCATATGGGCGCCAGTTCAAGTCCAGGTTACCCCAGTTCTGATCCAGCTCTGCTATGGCCTGGGAAAGCAGTGGAAGATGACCCAAGTTCTTGGGCCCCTGCACCCAGGTGGGAGACCTGGAGGAAGCTCCTGGCTCCTGGCTTCAGATCGGTGCAGCTCTGGCCTTTGTAGCCAATTGGGGAGTAAACTAACAGATGAAAGATCTCTCTCTCTGCAACTCTGACTTCCAAATAAATAAATAAATCTTTAAAAAAATAAAAATGTTTGACGTCATTAGTCATCATGGAAACACCAATCAAAACCCACAGTGGGGAGGGGGAGATTGTGGCTCAGTAGGTGAAGCCACCACCCGGGGACACCTGCACCCCTCACTCGAGTCTCAGCTACTCTGTTTCTGATCCAGCTTCCTGCTGAGGTGCCTGGGGTGAGTGAATGTTGGACTGAGTACTTGGGCTCCTACCACCCACGAGGGAGTTTCTGGCTCCTGCCTTTGGCCTGGCACAGTCCCAGCTGTTGGAGGCATTTGGGGAATGAACCAGCAGATGTAAGTTCTCACTTCCTCTTGGTCACTCTGCCTTTAAAATAAAATATTAACACACATAGACACAATGAAATACAATTACTACCTGTTAGGAAGCCTGTGTTCAAAAAGACAGACAGTAACAATTGGCCAGGATGTGGAGCAATTGGAACCCTCATTCACTGTAGCCTTCAGTATAAAATGGTGCAGCCACTGTGGAACAGTGTCTGGGGGTCCCTCAGAAAATTCAACATATGCAGTGGCCATTTGGCCTAGCAGCTAGGATGCCAGTTGGGACATCTGTGTTCCATACTAGAGTGTCTGGGTTCGAGTCCTGGCCCTGCTCCACATTCTAGCTTCCTGCTAATGTGCACCACGAGGGGCAACAGTGATGGGTGGGTCTTGCCACACTCAGGATCCTGGATTAGGTGTCTGGCTCCCAGCTGCAGCCTGAACCACCAGTCCTGGCTGGTGGGGGCATTTAGGGTGTGAACCAGCAGATGAAAGCTCTCTACCTTTCACAATAGTAAATTGATTTTTAAAAATTAAACAAAGTTACCATATGAGTCAGCAATTTCACCCCCTGGCTTATACCCAAGAAAGCTGAAAGTTTAGGTTTACACACAAACTGGAATGTGAAAGTTTATAGTGGTATTATATTCACAACAGTTCCAGAATGGATCAACCCAAATGTCTACCAACTGATGAGTGACTCAGTAAGATGTACTTCATAGGATGGAATATTACTTAGCAATAAAAAGAGTAAAGTCCTTGAGGTCGGTGTTGTAGCACAATGGGTTAAACCACCACCTGCAATGGCAACATCCCGTATCAAAGCACCTGTTCAAGTCCCAGCTCCGCTTCCCATCCAGCTCCTTGCTAATGCACCTGGGAGAGCAGCAGAAGATGGCCCAAGTACCTGGACTCTTGCCACCCACGCAGGAGACCTGGATGGAGTTCCAGGCTCCTGGTTTCAGCCTGTCCCAGCCCTAGCCATTGTGGCCATTTGGGAAGTGAACCAGAGAACAGATCCCCCCCCCCCCCCTTCTGTGTCTCTTCCTCTCTCTCAGTTACTCTGCCTTTCAAATAAATAAATCTAAAAAAAAAAAAAAAAAAAAAGGTCTGATTCTTGCTAAAAGATCGACGAACCCTGAAAATAAGCTAAGTGAAAAGGCACGCACAAAAAGTCACACACAATATATGATTTGTCAAGACTTTACGTGAATAGAGCCATATACCAGCCAGTACATTAGTGGTTGCTTTTGGCGGGGGTGGGGTTGAAGGGAGATGGGGGAGGGTGGCTGTAACAGGTATAGGGTTTCTTTTTGGGGTGATGAAAATGTTTTGAAATTATGGTGAATCAATGAACACATTACAAAACATGAAGTTGCATACACTAAAGGGGTGAATGTTATGGAATTATTTTTAATGGAGTTGGAGGGAAAACAAAGAAATACGCAAAGAAAGAAGAGGGAAGTGACCTCCTAGGCTAAAGGTCAAGACCTGGACCCTGCTGCCCCTCCTGCTTGGACCTGGAGACGGATGCCACCCACTGTAGCTGACCACCACACACACACACACACACACACACACGCACATGCACACGCACACACACTCTTTCCTGGCCCCCAGCCCTCCTGTACCATCCGGCTCTGCTCCCCCGGGCGAGTGTCTGGGTCTCCAGGACTCTTTCTCAGGATCCTCCAAGCCCTGCCCTGTGGTCTGTTTCTGACCTGGGGTCTCAGAATGGGCAGTGTCACCTTTGTGCAGAGGCCCCACTGGTGGCCCTGGAAGCTGGGTCAGTCCAGCGCCCTTGGCCTTGCCTTGGCTCTCTCCCTATCCTGCTGGTATCTGGGTGGGGGGAAAGTGTTGGGGGAGGAGGGTGTGGAGCGTTTTGGGGGAGGAGTGGGCACAGGTTGGTAGGGGAGGGCTGGCCTCTTCGGGGCTGGCCCCTGCCTGCACGGCACCGAAACTCCAGGGACTCTCAGGCTTCATTCGGGAGCCAGGGGCTCCTCCCTTCCCTTGCCCCCAGCTCCGCCACTCCTAGAACCCCACCTGCGTGGGGCTTGTCCTTTATCTGCCTATCAGCCCCAGGCCTAGCAGCAGGGGGCTCCCCAGGTCCCTGCCACCCTCCAGCCCCCACGGCAGGTGGGAGGGGCCTGCTGGGCCACGGTCAGCCCGGGCGGCCAGGCCTGGCGCCTCCAGGACACTGTGGAAGAGGCACATGTCTTGCGGCCTTTCCCTCCCAGAGACCCTTTGGCCAAGAAGCCTCTTGGGTGGGGACATGGCAGGAGGGCAGCTGGCCTCTTCATTCTGGGGGAGGCAGGAGGCACTTCTGGGACAGCCCTGGACTCAGATGGCTTGAGGGAGAGGCCAGGGAGACTGGGATAGACCAAGGGTCCGGTCCCCAGGGAAGCCCCGGATGCTCTGGCTCCAGGAGAGCGCGCAGGCCCGTGAGTCCACAGGAGCACCGCGTGGCACAATCTGCAGCCGGCCACAGCAGGCTCCCTGGGGGCACGGGCACCACTCCCGGGGCAGCTCCCCAGGGATGGGAGTGCTGGCCTGGAAGCTGGCCGGAAGCTGGGGCGAGGGGCGACTGCTGGGCCACAGAGCAGGACCTGCCCAGGAAGCTGTGGCCTCTGCCTTGGAGAAAGACAATCGGCATAGGGCGTGAGGCCTCCCAGCAGGCCTTGCCTCTGAGTGGTGTCCCCTTCAGAAAATCACAGCCAAGACCAGGAGAGGCAGCAGCAGCAGCGGCTGGAGAGGGCCCCACACGTGACCCCAGCTCATCTCCATGCCAGGCTCCTCAGGGCCTTGTGCACCTGTGGGAAGGAAGCGGCTTTGCCTCAGCCGGCTGACAGCTGTGCCTGACCTCCCACCCACCACACCATGCAAGGGGTGGGGGCGGCAGCCAGGGCAGAAGCTCCCACTCGGAGAGTGCATGCCCCACATGCCGCTGGGGGGCAGGATGCTGACAACGACAGTGTAGCGCCAGGCGAGGAGGGGGGCACAGACGCTACCGGCCTTACCTGGCAAGGATGCCTGCAGGGCCAGGGTACGCCCACCGGTGGCGTTAGCGATGACAGAGGCATTGGGGACACTGGACAGGGACTTGGAGGAGGTGTGCCCCGAGTGGTCCAGTGTGGCCTGCAGCTCACCTGGCTTGTCTTGGGCTGGAGAAACTGAGGCCAAGACCTCACGGGAAGGAGGCGACTGGGCCTCAGGCTCTGCCTCGTCCTGGGCCTGGGGCAGAGGCTTGCTTGTCCCTGTCAGGGACACGCTGGGGTACGGAGAGCTCTGTGGGCTCAGGGAGGGTGTGCTGGTGTCGCTGGCCACTGCGTGCATCGACTGGGGGCTGGGAGCCTGGGTCGTGCCGGGGAAGGTGACCGGCCCCTCCTCCAAGGAGGGCAGGCTGTGAGTTGCTGGAAAGTGAGGGACCTTGGTTGCTATGGTAGGCGCGGCCTGGGTTGTCGTGGTTGCTAAGGAAGATGGGGCCTTGGTGTGTGCAACAGGCAGAGCCTCGGTGGCCGGCGAGCCTGCGACCTCCGCGGCCGGGGAAGGGGTACCCGTTTTCCCAGCGCCCGAGGCTCCGGTTGCCGGGCTGGATGCGGCCTCAGTGACCGAGTCAGGCAAATCCTGAGCCTCCTCCGGGCCTCTGATGGGTTCTGATAAGATAGACAAGGCCCGGTGTTAGGGCTGCAAGGGGGACCCTCACGGCCCTCCCTCACTGCGGCCAAGGCGAGGCGATCCAGGGTCCTACCGGGACACCCAAAACCGCACGCACACCTGCGGGGCCGCGTCCCTCACCGCCAATAAATGTTACTACCGGCCACTGCTCCTGAAGCCCACGGCCTTCCGCCAGCACTCGCTGGCGCGCGCACCTCCACTTCCTCGGGTCTGCGCCGGCCAAATTCCCGCGCCTAATTCGCCCACCGCACTCGGGCCCCGCCCACCCAGGCCCCGCCCGCCGCAGCTCTGGCCCCGCCCACAAGGCAGGCCCGCGTCCGGCTCTTCACCGAGCTCGCCACCGAGATTCGGTCCCTTGGGACTGGCGGGCGCCTGCGCGGCTGCGCGAAGAGGGCGGGGCGAGCCACGGAGGGCCCCCCCCATCCCGCGCAGGCGCAGAGCCCGCAGCTTCGCAGGGTCGCGCTTCCCCCGGCGCCCAGCCCGGCCCCCGACTCACCGCAGAGGGAGTCCTCGCAGCGGTAGCCGGAGGGACATTGGGAGCACGGGGGTCCCTCCTGGTAGGGCCTTTTCCCCTTCACGTTGCCTCTGCAGGGGGCGAGGAGAACACTGGTGAGGGGACCCAGGCGCTCCCCGCCGCCATCCGCTTGTCCCCTAGTCACAGAGTGCCCTGCGTCGGGTGCCCTCCCAGCTCCCAGCCGGTAGAGGACCCTCTTCCTGAGGCTGTGCCTGACTCGGCCCTCCGCGGGCTCTGCCCCCACCAGCACCCGCACCCGCACCCGCACTCACGGAGGCTCGTAGTTGCACACCAGTAGTTGGATGTTGGTCTCCTCAACGCCCTGGAGCTTCTCACAGAAGTGGGAGCCGCAGCCAATCCTCTCTGACTTAGACCAGACCACCTGAAGGAGAGCACGGCCAGAGCTCAGCCCCGTCCGGGGGGCACCGTCCCTGCCCGCTGCCCCTCTGCACCAGCCTTCTGAGCGGTGTCTCTCCCCTGCCAGCCACACGTTCCATTTCACTGGGCGTCTTTCCCCCAGCTTCAGAGCCCCGGCACTGCGTGTGAACCATGGGGTACATTCAAAGGAATGCATCCCAAACGACAGAGTCATGGACATCAGCAACAAGAAAAAGCCCTGGGAGGGAACAGGGGGAGCCGTTTTGAAAGAGGGGGGACTTCCTCCGGATCACAAGTGGGCAGGGGTCTGCTCTCCCTGTGAGTTCTGTTCAAGTCTAAAACATAAAATATCGTCCTTACAGCCGTGAGGGTGAGACCCAGCAGCCTCTGCTTGCTGTCTCGTTCTGCTTGCATCAGCAGTCTCCCGGGTCCCAGGCGGAATGACCCCAGCTGGTGACCCCAGAGAGAGCCAGGCAGAGCTGAGAGGACTCACGCTGGGCATAGACAGCAGTCCCCGGGGAGCGAGTCCCTGCCGACAGGGTGACGGGTGGGAAGGGGACAGGGAGGGCACTTCGGCCTCGCAACTTCCGGACCTGGGTGGGTGCTGTGTTGATTTCCTTCCCTAAAGATTACGGTTAAAAATAGCACCCGGCAGAGGCACAGAAAAATGGAATTGGTGGATGTGGGTGGGAAGATGGTTTCTTTTTTCTTTTGTTTGTCATGTTTTGGTTCAGACAAGACGTGAGCCCTGGGAGACCAAGCATTCAATCACACACTTGTTCAGTCTCCTACACACAGCCACCCCTTATCTGAGGCAACCACGCGGTGTGTGAACGTGGGCCAGACCCTAGGCACGAGTGGATGAGCTAAGAGCAGTAGGTCAGTGCTGGTTTCCTCCTCGTGCTGCTCACGTGTGCTGGGCAGGAGAATGCCCTTGTTTGTAGTGGGCACGGGAGCATTATGTTGGCAATTTACTCCCAACTGTGTTCGGAAAAATGTTGTTTGTACTATTATTGTTGCAACCCCTTAGAAAGTTTGGAATAATTTCCAAATAAAAAGTTATGTTTAAACAAGTATACTGACGTTTCTTATTAACTTGTTTTTGCTATCTTGTTTTTTAAAAATTCAGACTTTCAAAATGCAGCGAGCAGCCAGACATAAGCAACAACAACCACAAAAAATAGTGAAAGGCAGGAAATGCTGCCAGAAGTTTCCTCGAAACCTTTATTCAGTGACAATTTGTTCTTTTAAAAAAGCAAATAAAAATCAGACAAACAAAATCACCTATTTGCTTTACCAGTCCCTGGCAGTAAATCAGACGGCAGAAAGTCACCGTGAGCTCAGCAGGAAGAGGGAAGGTGGCAACCCAGCCAAACTAGGCCAGGGCACAGGGCTGCGGCGAGCCTGGTGCCGGGAGTGTCCGGGACACGCAGCCTGGGCCGCCTCAGTGCCAGGAGGCCGGGGTGACATGCAAACGGTGCGGGGTGGGGGGGGGGTCAAGGAGAGAAGATGCTCCCGGGTCGGCGAGGCAGGCCCCGCCCCGCCACGAGGCCCCGCCCCGCCGAGCGCGCACCTGCGTGTAGTGGCCGCACATCTGGTCCCGGGCGCAGGTGGCGGCGCTGAGGTTGTAGTGCTCGCGCTCGTGGTGCCACTCCTCCATGGCCAGCGGCACGTCCACGACCTCGTCCGTGATGGCGAACAGGTTCTCGCCGCGTCGCCCGCGCTCCTTGTTGTGGCCCCACACGCACTTCTGGGCGTAGGCCTTGGCGAAGGCGGCCAGCTCCTCGTCCCATCTCTGCGGGGCAGGCGCGGGAAGGAGGTGAGGCTGAGGGGGCCTGCGGGTTTCTGGAGGTCCCAAACTCCCCACCCTCGTCCCGGCACCCTCCTGTAGCGGGCGGCGCCTTGGCCAGGAGCCGGAAGCCGTCTCTGCTGTGGATGGGCTTGGGGAGGGGGGTTCCGAGGGAGAGGGCTCCCCCAGCTCAGACTTGGGACCCTTCGCTAGCTGTGTGAGCTGGAACAGAGTGGGGTGTCGGGCAGCTGGCCTTGCCTACCCCTTCAGGGAAATACTGAGTTTCTGTTCAGTCCCCCCCCCCACCATAAATCTGCCGAGGGGGACAGCCCCCTTCTCTCTCCACTGGCCTCCCAGGCTCCCACAGCCCCTTTGGGACAGCCCAGCCCCTCCGGGTGCCCCTCCCCGGTACAGGTCCTAAGGGCTCTTGACTCTTATCAAGTTGCCATTCCCCAAGGGAATCAGTGTCTCCCCTGAGGCTCCTATGTCACAGCATTGGTACCCCGGTAACTGTGGGACCCCCAACGGCAGTGATGCCCACGGGGGGGGGGGGGATGCGGATGAGGTGTGGGAGGGGTGCTTTTGGGTCAGGGGGCCTGGGAGGGGCTGCTGGCGGGGAGGACAGGCTGTGTGTGGGCGGAAGGAGGGATTAACGTGCATCCCACCCAGAGGACTGCGGAGCAAGGCCTGGAGCTCATTAAGCTTTGTCCTTGGCCTCTCCTGGAAATGGATGGCCTGGCCGCAGCTCTCGCTCCACCCTCTGGGGGCCCAGCCAGCTGTGGGAGCCAGACTCCCCACCCACTCAAGGCCGACTGGGGTGGGGATGGGAGCGCTGGGCTGGGGTGGCCCCACCACTGTGACTGTGGCTAAGTCCCTTTCCCTCTTGGGGCATTTTTATCCCGAGTCACTGGTCGCCAAGGCTCTCTCAATCGTGGGAGTTTGGAAGTGGGGAAGGAGCAGGTGCCGGGCACGAGGGGCAGGGAGCTGGGATGAGCCGGGGGCTCCAGCAGGGCAGGGCAGGGCAGGAGTGTTCCCAGGGTCTAGTGCAGTGCCGGCACATGGTAGCTGCTTAACAGATATTTGCCAACTCTGGGTGTCAGAGACACCGGCGCTGCTTAAAAGCAGTCCCCCCTGCCAAGCCCAGCTGCAATTTCCATTCTCACAGAATGCCTGAAGGCCAGCCATTGGCGAGTTCCTGCTTTGGGGCTCAAGGCTTCCTGGTCAATCGTGTCGTGGGCCCACGCACACTGGCCACATGGTCACCATGGAGCAGCAAGTGCATCCAACAGTTCTGAGGCCTGGGCCGGCAACCCTGGGCCAACGGTGAGGACCAAGAAGCCCACGTTCACCCCATCACAGAGCGGCACGTGGTAAATGGCAGATATGCAGCGAGTGCTCTAAGGCCACCAGAGGAGGCATTTAGCCAAGCCTGAGGGCAGAGAAGGAGACACGGAGCAAGCTGTCACAGGACAGGTGGCTGGGGAGGCCCCCCAGAGCAGAAGGCCCGCCTGAGCAGGGACTCGGGCTGGGGAGGAGGCTCAGATTCCTGGAGGAGAAAGGCTGAGCAGGTGAGGAGCTGCAGGGAGGCAGGGGCTGAACACATAGCGCCTGCCCAGGAGCCGGGGCCATCGGAGGAATTTGAGCAGGGTCAGGCCCGTGGGTTGAAGTTCATTGTGGTAGCAGAGCCGGAGGCTGGGAGCAGGTAGGGGAGTACTCGGGCGTACAAATGGAATTCCACCCGAGAGTACAAATGGAATTCCACCCGAGAGTCCCTGGGTGTAGAAATGACTGAGCCAGGCTCGTGGCAAGTGGGAGGCAGGGAATCCAGTTCAAGGAAGCCTGAAGCTTTTGGGAGGCAGTGCGGAGACCGAGGAGAGGGAGGCGGGTCCATGGGAACTCCCACCTGCCTCACCCCGCCCCTCTCCCTCTGCTGTGCCAGTAAACACTTAGCGCTTACGGTGTGCCAGCCCTGTTCTAGGTGCTTTATGCCTACTGACTCCTTTAATCCTGTTAACATCTATTTTGCAGAGGAGGAAACCAAGGCACAGAGAGGTTAAGTAAGTTGGCCAAGGACACACAGCCAGAAAATGACCCAGCCCAGGCTCTCTGCCTGCAGAATCTCTGAGGCTGAGCCCGAGTCCTGTCCCTGATTTCCCCAGGCTTCGTAGTCCCTCCCTGTATCACTTCCCAGGAGGCAGCGGCACGTCCCTCTGGACCCTAACCGCTTCCTAGAGCGCGGCCGCAGTCCAAGGTAAAGCAGCTCCAGCCCTTGCAGCCCCCAGCCCCAGCCGGCCAGACTCACAGGGCATCAGGGAAACTGAGACCCCGCGGTGAGCGAGCCCCAGCCTCAGTCAGGGGGCTGTGGGCAGAGCTGGAATGAGCCGGAAGTCCCAGGCAGCCTTGCCCGCCGCGGCGACGGGTGCACCTGCAGAGCCCTTTCTAGATCTTTCTCACCTGTCAGAGTGTCCGAGCCCCAGGACCGAGAGGGCCAGGCCCGTGCGCCATCAGGAACAGGGCCTCTGAAGGGCGAAGGGCCCACCCAGAGTCACCGGGCCAGCTCAGGCAGAGCCAAGGTCACTGCTCAGGGTTCAGACTGCACGTTTGCCGCTGTGTTCTCCAGCACCGGCTACAGGGCCCTGGGACCCTGCTCAGCTGCCTCCCAGGCCACCTGAGGGGCTGGGGAGTCCAGCTGGGGAACAGGGGCAGGCTTCGTCTCCTCTCAGGGAGAGCACAGACCTCCCGCCTACCCCTGCAGTGGGGCCGCTGTCCCCCTCTGCCCACCTGTGCACGGCTGTCACCACATCTGCAGGTCTCGGCAGGGGACAGTTAGGGCTTTTACACGCTGGCAACCTTCATCTAAACATGAGCTGTGTGCGTATTTTCTTGAGATTCTCTGGAGGACCCTCAATATTCTCTCTGTAAGACTCAACCTGTGTTGATATCTGTGTAGCTCCGCTTATGAGCCCATTTTACAGTGGAGCAACTGAGGGCCAGCCAGATCGCAGGACTTGTCCCGCATTGCGGGGCTTGTGGGAGACCAAGGCAGGATTCGAACGTGCCATCTAGAGCCCTCTCTGCTGCTTTCTCGCGCTCAGCCCTCCCCCCACCCCAGGTGCCTGGCCCCTCCCACCGCTCTGCCTTCCTCATCCCTGCAAAGACCCCTTTCACAAAGGCTAAGAACTCTTAACCCTCCCAAGGGTAGGGGTGAGGGGCCCTGCAGTTTAGGAAGCGCCAGGGAGGGGTCACTATGGCGGGAAGCCCAGGTTTCCAGGTGTGAGCCCAAGCAGGTCCCTGTGAAGCCCTGTTTCCTCATCTTGCAACGGGCTGCCTCTGTGGCCCTGGAGCTGCATAATGCCAGGAGCCCTGTCCCTGACCAGGGACACCCAGCGCCCCTTCCGTCGCAGGTGGCACTCACCATCTGCAGCATGTCGGAGGCGGGCGGGGACACCTGGGCGCGGTAGAGGTTGTGCAGCTCCACCAGCGCGCGCTTCTCATCGTCGCTGAGGGCTCCGCCGGGGCCTGTGGCAGCCACCAGCAGTAGCAGCGGCGGCAGCAGAAGTGCCGGGAGACCGCAGGAGCTGTGCATGGTGGCCAGCCCTCTCCGCCTCTCCCGTCCAGGGGTCTGGCAGCCGGATTTAAAGCCCTTCCCACACAAGCACCACCCTGGCCGGGGTGGAGCAGCAGGGACTGTGTCTGGAGGCCCAGCCCGGCTCACACAATGTCTCCGGGAGGGCTGGGTGCCTTGGGTCTGGACCAGAGTGGAGTCCACTCCCCTTGGAGTCCTTGGCAAAAGCCTGCTTGCTCTCGGGAACGGGGGCTTGGGCCAAAAGCTGTGGGGGCTCGGCAGCCTCTGCTGGCGGGTGGACCGATCCGCAAGGGGCGAAGTCACGGTCCCCTCGGCGGAACTGCAGCTGCTTCACACCCCTGGGTGCTGAACACACAAGAGGAAGGAACGCCACGGGCCCTGCCCCTGGAGGACTGAGCGAGATGCAGGTCTTCCGGTAGCACAGAAGAAGCTGCCATGTCTTTGGTAAAAGGTTGGGCCGCCCCGGCTCCGATCCTAGCTATCTGTGATTTTTGTACTTTTCTCCACTGAATTAGTGGCAATAATGACCTACTTTGTGTGGGGGTGGAGGGAGAAGCAAACGGGGTATAACGCATTTAAAGCAACCAGTGTGGACCCTGGTGCAGAGTAGGCCCTCAGTAAGCGTGGACAGCAGCCGCCCGCGGGCACAGGCGTGGAGCCCCACAGGGAGGCAGGGCCTCTGCTTATGGGAGCAAGGGCTGAGGGGTTTCCCACTCTAGCTGCAGCCTTGAGCTGGAGCATGGGCAGAAGGTGGCCTTCCGTGTGCCCTCTGTGGGTGCACGGGCTGAGGAGCGCATGTGGACTCTGGGACCGGCCCCCGCCCCCCACCCACAGCCCTGCTCTGAGTGTGTAGAGAATACAGCACGTTTGGTTCTGAAATCCAGAGAGAGCAGAAGAGCCTGGGTCTGTGCTGACCCAGCAGGAGTGCCAAGGGGAGGTGTTGGGAGGGTGGCAGGCTGCCATGCAATGCCCTTGCGTGGGGCAGGGAGCCGGAACCAGTGCCTCCAGGTTCTGCTGCGGTCCTTGAAGACTGCCCCCTTGGTGAATGGGGTCCTAGGAAAAGCCTCCCCCTCTGGCCCTGAAAGATGCCAGGGAAACCTGCCCCACCTGGGTCTCCAGGTAAGAATCAAAGCAGAAACAGAAGCAACTTGGACGCCACAGACAGAACTGTGGCAACGTTGTAGGATACAAAGTTGATACACAGAAATGAATTTTTTTCTAAACACTAACAGTGAATAATCCAAAAGGAAAGTAAGAAAACAACTCTATAACAACAATAAAAAAAGAGTAAAATTCTTAAGAATAAACTTAAAGAGGCAAAAAACTTTTAAATCTTTTTTTTTTTTTCATTTTATTTGAAAGGCAGAGAGACATCAAGAGAGAGACAGAGACAGAGGCAGATTTTCCATCCACTCGTTTACTCCACAGATGCCCACAGCAGCTGAGACCGGGACAACCCAGCGACAGGAACCAGAGCTTGATGTGGCTCTCCCACGGGGGTGGCGGCCGTCCTCTGCTGCCTCCCAGGCTGGGCATTAGCAGGGAGCTCAATCCGAAGCAGGGCTGAGACTTGAACCCAGGCACTCCAATACAGGATGTAGGCGTCCCTAACTCAATCACTGTGCTAACACCCACCTGGCTGCAAAAGCCTTGGCTGGAACCTACAAAATGTTGCTGAAAAACACTAAAGAAGACACAAAGAAACAGAAATACATCTCGTGCTAGCGGATTAGAAGACTGGATATTGTTAAGCCTTCAGGACCAATGCTGTGGCGTAGAAGGTAAAAGCCCCCATCTGCAGGGCCAGCATCCCATGTGGGTGCTGGTTCGAGACCCTCCCACTCCACTTCAGATCCAGCTCTCTGATATGGCCTGGGAAAGCAGTAGAAGATGGCCCAAGCATTTGGGCCCCTGTACCCACATGGGAGAAGCTCCTGGCTCCCAGCTTCGGATCGGAGCAGCTCCGGCCGCAACGGCCATTTGGGGAGTGAACCAGCGAATGGAAGACCTCTCTCTGCCTCTGCCTCTCTGTAACTCCGCCTTTCAAATAAGTAAATAAATCTTAAAAAGAAAGAGAGAAGTCGATATTACTCAGTGTGATCAATGCAATCCCAAACAATATCCCAAGGACAATTTATTTGCATAAAGAGAAAAATCCATCCTAAAAGTCATACAGGATCTCAACGGAATCCACTAGCAAACAATGTTGAAAAGACGAACAAAGTTGGAAGTCTTACACTTTCTAATGTTAAAACTTACCTACAGGGGCCATTGCTGTGGCATAATAGGCTAAGCCTCCGCGTGCAGTGCCGGTGTCCCATATGCATGCCAGTTCGAGTCCTGGCTGCTCCACTTCTGATCCAGCTCTCTGCTATGGCCTTGGAAAAGCAGTAGAAGATGGTCCAAGTGCTTGGACCCCTGTGCCGGTGTGGGAGACCCGGAAGAAGCTCCTGGCTTCAGATCGACCCAGCTCCAGTTGTTGCAGCTATCTGGGGAGTGAACCAGCATATGGAAGAATTTTCTGTCCCCCGACCCCTCACCAACTCTTTCAAATAACTGAATCTTAAAAAAAAAAAAATTACACTGGAGCTGAAAACTTGTGACTGCCTGCTGACATCCTGGCCACCGTAAGTTGTAGAGGCTCCTGGTGCTGCTGGTGTGTGACGAGGCTGCTGCACGGCCAGCCCAGGAAGTGCCTCTGAGCGCCTCAGGGCGGCTCTGCACAGAGCACACTGCCCCCTGGGCTCAGCCTGCCACCCGGGCCACATGCTGGGCACAGATGCCTCCTGTGAGGACACAGGCACTGGCAGCAGGGGAAATACCTTCGCAGACCCAGCACAAGGGGCGGCATGCAGTCACTCAGGGCGGGTGTACAGAGCTTCCCCAGTGTGCCAGGCATGGAACTGGGTAAATAGGACAGAGCAGGTCCCCTAGGTCATGGAGCAGGAACCTTCCAGAAAACTGTGCTGTGCACAGGACTATGGGACTTGTCAGTGGGTAGCCTTGGCAAAGTAATTTTGTTCTTTTCTTTCTTTCTTTCTTTCTTTCTTTCTTTCTTTCTTTCTTTCTTTCTTTCTTTCTTTCTTTTTTTAACTTATCTATTTGAAAGGCAGAGTGACAGAGACAGTGTGACACAGATGTCTCGTCTGCTCACTCCCCAATGGCTGCAACAGCCAGGGCCAGGTCAAAGCCAGTAGCTCCATCCAAGTCTCCCATGTGGGTGCAGAGGCCCAAACACTTGGGCCATCTTCTGCCGCTTTCCCTGGGTGCACTGGCAGGGAGCTGGATCAGAAGTGGAGCAGCCAGTGCTGGCACTGTGGCATAGAGGGTTAAGCCACCAGCTGCAGTGCCGGCATCCCATGTGGGCACCAGTTCGAGTCCTGGCTGCTCCATTTCTGATCCAGTTCTCTGCTGTGGCCTGGGAAAGCAGTAGAAGATGGCCCAGGAACTTGGGCCCCTGCACCTGCATCAGAGACTCAGAGGAAGCTCTTGGCTCCTGGCTTTGGATCGGTGCAGCTCCGGCCAATGTGGCCAATAGGGGAGTGAACCAACGGATGGAAGACACCCCTCTCTCTCTCTCTCTCTCTCTCTTTCTCTCTGCCTTTCCTTCTCTCTGTGTGTAACTGTTTCAAATAAATAAATAAATCTTAAAAAATAATAAGTGGAGCAGCCAGTTATTGAACCAGCGCCCATCTGGGATGCCAGCACTCAGGCTACAGCTTAATCTCTTGCACCACCATGCCGGTTCCTGGGGAAGATGTGTTTTGCTCTCCGGCCTCTGTGTCCACCTCTGTACCTTAGAGCATGGTTGTGAGCATTCAAGGAGGTAGGAGCTGAGTGGGGCTCAGCACAGGCCTGCTCTGTCGGTGCTCATTGGCCAGTTGGTCTGTTCGCTGCTACAGGAGGAAGAGCTTACACAGCCTTAACTTGTAGCACAGAGAAAAAACACAGCAGCCTGACCTGGATTTTCCTCCTGGGTTGGAGCTACTGTGGTCTGGGGAACACACACATCCTTCAGGGGCAGGTGTGAGCCTGGGAGGCCTCCTGGCAGAGGTGTGTTTGGCAGGAGGCAGGGAGAGAGGAGCCTGGCTTGGAGAAAGGAGAGATGGGGGCGAAGCCTGGGAGGCAGAGCGGAGGCGGCCGGAGTGTTTCGGGCATCGGTGCGCAGCCAGGGCTCGTCGCTGGGCCTTTCCTCCTGGGGAGGTGCCACGGACTCACACCGGGGTGGTGTCACCACCAGGCTGCACAAGGAACCTGGTGTTCGAAGAGCACGGGGGAGGGGCTGGCACAGTGATGGGGTGGGGCCAGAGCCAGGGACCCGCCTCTAGAGAAAGAGGGCGGGTCAGGCCAGCAGGTGCGGGGAGGCAGGACTGGAGGATGGAGCAGGCAGTGAGCAGAGGCTGGGAGGGGCGAGAGGAGGCAGAACCAGGCAGACGGAGGATGGCTGCGCTTTTCAGTAACTGTTTTATCCACAAACCCACCTTGGGGGAGAATATATTTTCTTTTTGAATGATTGCTTTTGTCTTTCTTTTAACAAAATATTTATTTGACAGAGTATCAGAGGTAGTGGTGGGAAACAGAGATTGCCATCCTCTGTTTCTCTCCCCAGAAGCCCACAAGAGCCAGGATTGGGCCAGGCTTGAGGCCAGGAGCCAGGAGCTCCAATTGCGTCTCCCACGTGGGTGCAAGGACTCGGGCCATCTTCTGCTGCCTTCCCAGGCTCATTAGCAGAGAGCTGGGTTAGAAGTGTAGCAACTGGGACTTGAACTGGTGATCTGATATGGGATGCTGGGTCGCAGGTGGCCATCTTGAACAGTAGTATAACTCCATCACAAAAAATGAAGCCACGGCGGGGCTGGGTGTGGGGAGCAATTCCACCTCTAACATCTGCTTATAGTCTCCGAGCAGGTGTGCAGTTCTGATGTCCTTAGTCAAAGGCCGTGTGAACACCCAGAGACACACAGAGAAGATGGGTGGGACAACAGAGGCAGGGACCCCAGGGGATCAGGCTTGAGGATTCTGTCCCTAAGCCGCCAGAGGG